CAGTATTGGAAACGCCCCAATTTCAAAAAATGAAATGGAAGCTCTTATTACCAGTCATGTGAAAGAATATGTTTTGACTAATACATGATGATAACATTTTTTGCCAGGAAACCGCCTACTAATTGATATATTTGGTAAATTAGTTTATCTATTGGGATGTGAGAAATAAACGCACGTGTCGTGCACGTGTACGTAGTCCTATATACATCTTTCTGTGTACAGTGCTTGTAACTTTGCCAAGATTTGGCCAAATTTCTTATCATTTTGATGATTCCAGAACCTTGCAATACACACGAATACTTATACTAGATGATCAACCTTTTCTGATAGATTCCACACCGTTTCTTTCACAATGCAATCACATGACCAGAACTCAACTTTATCTTTAAAAGGGAAATCCAACCTTGATAGCAAGCTTGTCTAGAATAAAGCAGTAAAATCATAAAAGCATTCTGATGAAAGTTTGAATGAAATTAGGAATGAAATCAGAAAAAAATTAAAAAGTTACACATTTTTGAAAGTTGCAATCACTATAGGTAATTTTTGTTATGGGCTCTTCAAATTGGCTGAATTAATAATGTCTTTGTGATGTAGTGGTGGACAACTTTTCCATTTACTCGAAAGGTACGCAAAAGCACTAACATTTTAACTTCATAAAATGTATGACTCTCTATAATATCTTTGGAGTAGTGCTCCGGGGGCGAAGGCACTTGGGAGAAACACAGAAATAAGTGATATATTTGTATGTACACGACAAACAGGACAGCAATCCATCACTATGTCACAATCCACCAACAAAATTGCAGATTTGAGATTTGCATAGCTGTAGTGAATCTAGTGATCTCATATTTCAAACACTCACAACTTTCTTAATATTGGTCCGATTTATTTCAAACTTTCGCCATTCTGTTTCTCTGAATTGTTTGCCTTCATTCAAATGAACTGATTAGAAGAGTTGGATTGCTCTTTAAGGATTTTTCCTGAAATCAGGATTTTCAAAAGTGTGTAAACAGTGCAGCTAGAAGAAAAATATTAAATCTAAAAAAAATATGTAATTATTTTGTTGTTGAAAATCTGACCAAAAATAACATTTTCCTGTAAAACTAAAAGTAGTTTTATTTTTAGTGTTTTACGCTCACTTCGCTCAGATCTCTGAATACATGTATTTGAATGTCAGTTCAGGGCTTTCTTTCTCTGTGGTCTCTCTGATCCTCGTCACAACATCTTTTATCCACTCACATGCATACCCAAACTTTAATATTCAATTCAATTCAATTCAATTCAATTTCGGTTTTATTACAAATATACCACATAAAAAGTCCAAAGACTAACAATAATTGGCTTACACTTTATCATATAAAAATGCATTAAAGACAGTAGATTTTAAAATTCAGTAATAAGTTAAAGTTGATACTCTAAGACAATCCCAAATACTGAGATAATTATATAAATAGAAAGCTTTTAACCCCCATAATAACACCAAATGGTGTCCACCCGACAAAACAAGTTTAGAATAATGAATTTATTCGAGTAAACTCTACCAAAATATCTAAGTCTGAAACCCGGAAGTGCACGTAGAGTCGGGCCTCTATCCGTGACGTCACGAACGGGAGTCATGGGCTCAGTGAGAGTGAATGGCAGTGATATCCCTACGTAAATGCTATCCTGTCAGAGCTTAGATTTGTTGTTGTTAAGGAGTATATTTGATGGATTTTCTGTTTTCATTTGAATGAAGAATAACGAAGCAACATTTTCCAGTCGCTGATTTCTTTTTATATCCTCATATTCACCTATTTGGTAGAGATTTAAGACGAGTTTACTGCTTAGGAATTAAAGTTAAATCGTGCACTTATGAATAGGTGGATGCATTATATTGTCATCAGATGTACATGAGCAGTTTTGTAAAACGAATAGGTCTAGAACTATGATAGTACTTATCATAGATGTGTGTGACTGCCTCAAAAAAGGATACAGTACCAGTTAAACATTTTATGTTGTAAAATATCAAACTTGAACGAGATCATGCAAGCACGCTTCCTCTATAATATTTTGGCGAGTGATGCGGCTCTTGCATGAACGTTCGTGGAGCGAGCAGAATCGGGAGGTAAGACCAAGCCGCTGCTCTAGGCGCTGCTTGCTTGTGATGGAACGTACGTGCGCTAGTTATATGTTTATCGGCAATTGCAAGAGAATGAAAGCGACGTTGCCAGCTAAGAAAAACAACTAACAAAGACTTGCTCCTGACTACCGGTGTCAGAATTGGTAGATGAAGGATGTTCAGGGCCAAGGAAGGTGAAAGACATGAGAAAAAGGAAGAAGAAACCATCGGGAGATCGCTGTAGTGTATGGTAATGAACTGTTCACTCCGTGCCTGGGCCGATTTCAACACCAAAACAAAAATTACATGGTGAAAATATCGACTAATAGCACATCGTTGGCATATATGTCATAATTTTTAAAAGGGGAATTGATATTAATACTATGAAGTACTAGGGGAAGGTAAAGAATTGTACATAGAATTATGATTTATTAGACTTTTCAGCCTTTGAAACAAAAATATGCAGAAAATCGTATCACTCTGCACATGCTTGCTATGGAACATCCGGGTACGTGAATATACTCTCTCCCGGACGTGAGGTCATAAATAGTAGACCAGCGTCGTGACTGATTTTCTATGCAAAGAGAGGCGGATATTTTAGACATTTCAATTGAGGATTTCGAGTAGACAGAATTTTTTTGTGATATACTAAGTAATTGAAAAACTTAAAAATAACATATACTTGCCGTAGGTAACAAATTAAGGGACATTTATTTGCTTAGAGTATCAACTTTAAAGTACATTGCTCACATTGTATCATATAAAAATGCATTTAAAACAGTCGATTTAAAAATTCAGTAATAACTTAAAGTATGAAGAAAAAAAAAAGATTGTACTGTATGTTTTAAAATGGTGATAATCAGTTTGTCAGTGAATTGAGAAGAAAGAAGAAATAAAGAGTGAAAAGTGGAAGAGAGGGAGAGGGAAAGGATAACGAGAAAAAAGAAAAGAGAGTTCACTTTATGACAAAAATATGTAAGCAAATGAACGAGAATTTAGTTGATTCAGCTTAATGAAGCATTGTAAAAGTAAAATGCACAATATGGTATTAAACATATACTTTTCATTTTCAGCACACATACTTTGGAATTCTCTGCCAATAAAACCTAGGAAACTGTGCTCGATCGATTCATTTAAAAAGGCCCTAAAATCTCACCTTCTTAGAATTTAAAAGCTAATTAAGTCCACTCTAAAATAATTTGCTTTTAATAGATGCAGAAAAACAAGAGAAATAGAGTTTAAAAAATGAAGTAAAATCGGATAGCTTTTTTTGAAAGTATGAAAAACTATGGATTATGGAGCTTAGAAAATCACTGCACAAATTACTAATTTGTGCCAGTTTGTGACATCATTGCATCACAATTTATCAATTGCTTTATATATTTTCATATACCCCTTTTTATCCCCAAAAACTTGATTTCCCCATGCCTTTGCCGCTTTGCCCAGGCTATATGATTTGTTACATTTGTATCACATTGCGTGCATGATCATTTCACAAAATCTTTTATGAACTTTGAAGAATTGATAGTACAGGTATTTTCTGAATATTGTATACTGATATAAATCATTGATTTTTATTTTTCATGATTACCTGAAAAAATAATTACTCTTTATTAGTGCATCTACACAAAAACATATTACCATAACTTGGATGCTGATGTGTTGGATTGGAAATTCATATTAAGAAAACAATTAGTGGATAGTGAGGCAATGACGTCACAAAATCATAAGTAAGTTGCCAATGTGTCTCGTGAGGCAATGACGTCACAAAATCATAAGTAAGTTGCCAATGTGTCTCGTGATTTTCAAAGTTTTTTAAAGCTATCCGATTTTGCTTTAACTTTTTTTTTATTTGTTTGTTTGTTTTTTTCTGCTTCTATTGAAAGCAAGTAATTTTTGGAGTGGACTTGCACTTTAACAAGAGAAAGAGAGAGAGAGAGAGAGAGAGAGAGAGAGAGAGAGAGAGAGAAAGAGGAAGAGAAAGAGCAAAATAGAATATATATATATATATTTTTTTTTGGGGGGGGGGGTCTTCTTGAAAGAGAGAGAATACAAGGAAACGGTGAACAAGAAAAAGGAAGAAGAGTGTGATTGTGAGATAGCAAAAGAAAGACTACTTCTTCTTTATTTGTTACAATCCTATAGGCCTACTTCTAATTGGGCCCAGAATGTTGTACAGCAACGAGCAGTGAAGCTACATGTATATAGCCAGATTGAGTTTGAAGTCCACGCGCAGCATGCATGCACATCTACGTCTGCTTTATTCATGAATAATTCATTAAGACAATAGGTTGGCAGGTACAAAACAGAGAGAGAGAAAGAGAGAGAAAGAGAAAGAGAGCAAAAGAGAATATGGATATATATATATTTTTTTTTTTGGGGGGGGGGGGGGTCTTCTTGAAAGAGAGAGAGATATTACAAGGAAACGGCGAACGAGAAAAAGGGAGAAGGATGTGATTGTGAGAGAGCAAAAGAAAGACTACTTCTTCTTTATTTGTTACAATACAATTCTATAGGCCTACTTCTAATTAATTGGGCTCAGAATGTTGTACAGCGACGAGCAGTAAAGGCTGTGAAGCTATAGCCAGATCGAGTTTGAAGTCCACGCGCATGCACATTGCACATCTACGTCTACTTTATTCATGAATAATTTATTAAGACAATAGGTCGGCAGGTACAAAACAAATATTCGCCCCTTCCACCCCGCCCCGCCCCCCCCCCCCCCCCCCCCCCCCCCCCCCCCCCCCCCCCACCCCCCCCCCCACCACCACCACCCACCACCACCCTAGGCCCTCGATCCTGGCCTGAAATGGGAATATATTATAAGAACACATGCACTCGCACAATGAAATATATTTTGTCTTTTTTTATGAATATTTTCATGATCATGTAGCATACACACCTGTGGTTTTGCACGAGACAACCGATGCTAGGGTAACATCATCATTCTTATCCATCTCGACCACATACTCGATTATTCTGCCCGCGTCTCCCCAGGAATTATCGCCACCTCTCCGGGCGCCTCCAGAGCTGAAGATTCGCTTCTTCTTCTCGGGCTCCTCAGCTCCCAGGACAGGACACATCACAGCAAAATGCCCTTCTGCTGGATAATACTCATTGAGCTTCAGGTCGGATTGAGGTTTTTTACGGGAGATTTTTCTTTTGCCTTCTTTTGAAGCTTGTTGTAGCAAAATCATACCAAAGTCATCAAGGGATTCCATGTTTGCGATCGGGAGGTTGTGCATAGAAAAGCTCATGTGAAAATTGTTGCGAGAAGCTCAACGTTACGTACGTGCGGCGTGTAGCACATGCACGGAATTCGCTGAATCAAAGATATATACCAGCTGGTATGGTCAGCTGTTTGGTTGAATTTAGCGAACTCCTGCGTGCATGCCTTTGTACACTAATTATACATCGCTGTTATAATCGTAAAGCAATTAGTTTTTTAAGTTTTGAAACTGTTAGCATCATAGCTAACTTTCCCTAATTTTAATTTCAGGGTGGACTTCACATACAATTGCTTTTTATATAGTGCAAAATGCATTAAAATATACTATAAGCCAAATTTGTTAGAATAATAATGTCACATTTTTCAAAAGAGTCGAGGGTAGCTCACAAGTAATGTTGTTAGGCACACTCGTAGCTGTAGGAGAGTGAATTGCCCAGTTCGCCCAAATTTGTAAATGTGTTTATTTGTTCATATTATCACATGTTTATTATTGTTCATATTATCACATGTTTATTATATTATCACGTTTGTCTTTGTTCATATTATCATATTATGTTTATCATTGTTCAAATTATCATGTTTCCCATTATACTATTGTTATATTGATACTATGTTGTAAATATATTTGTACTTTCATACCCCGAGAGGGGTTTGATAGAGTCAATACACTGATCTATACAATCTTACTGCTCAATGAGCTACGACAAACTAATGCTAATGACAAACAAAATAAGAAAAGAAATAGAAATAAACAAAGTTATTGAAGAGGTGTGACTCAAAATCTTAAAAGAGTCAGTTGAAGAGGATCGTTGAAGTTTTGGGCTGCAATGAGAGAAACTATACTTGCCAATTTCTGAGTTGACACGTGGCAATCGGACGACTATTGGATCATTTGAACGAGTCCAATTTCTTATAACTTCACACACAATCAAACATTAACTTTTAAAATGAAAAACCAAGCAAATATGTGACCCATCTTTGTTTTTCGATCAGTTTTAATGCTGCTCTGCTCCACATTTTTATCTTCTGTTTAATGAAGCTATTGAACAAACAATGAATGTAAATATAAAAATAATGTAACATGTGTTTCATACAGGAATATATACAAGTGCATGGAATCAACTAGAAAAGATGGCATTTATATGAATACTACAAACTTTAAAAAAGCAATAATACAAGATAATGCATTTAATGCATTGGTGCCAATTTTCGTTTCACAACAAGAAAATTCGATGTGGAAATTTAACTGTTGTAGCCGTATTTTAAATAAAAATCCATATTATTTTTCAATGTAAGCATCAGCCATGTTTTTACTAAGCATTTGTTATCAAGTAATTTCTAAAATATAAACCTATTTCTCTCAATATTCTTCAAATTTCCTCTACAAATATTTTTGCCTTATAAATATTGAGCAAATAATCTTTGAATAGAAATGGATATATTCACATTTGTTATCATTTCCAAGTCCTGCATATACAAATACTGTACATGAAATCTATAAATATGATCCTTTAAGTATTAATATTGTATGTGTGACAAGTAGTCTAGCAATTTCCGTTAAGATTTTGTGACTTTCACACGCTTTAGAATTCAATACACGCTCATCTTGAAGTGTTACATAATACTGAATAAATAATTCTTTTAGTTCTCACAAGTCAATTACAAATTCAACCTTTGAATGGTCAATGTTGTATTTACAACATTAAGTAAAAACTGCCAATGTTGTATACCAATAATTTCAAACACATTCTGTTCTCCATATTTCACATTGTTTTGTAGCAGTACATTTTACCTAGGTAATATCAAAATGAATAATATAATTCTTGTATCTCTCGGATTTGACTTATTTATCTATTAACCAATACTGGTAAAGGTTTAAAATATGAACTGCTGTTCCCTGTCTGTTAATCTGTACTGATATCCAGATAAAGTCATTGCTACTATCCAATCTTTATAAGTCTTTCTTACAAAGTCCATATACTTGTGATTTAAATGTCAAAGTCATTCAAAGAAGACACAGCATCATTAAACTATTAGTAACTACGGTAGTAGTTAGGAAATCAATGGTTCAAATAAACTTCAAATAGACTTCATTCATTCCCTGTAGGTTCTGGGCCAGTATTCAATTCAATATTTGTGTCAGAAATACAAGTATTTCACTAAGTTTTTTGGCTTAGATAAAATACTTACCAGTACCAATTTTAGTACTCAGTTGAAGCGTTTGGCTTAGTATTTTACCTTAAGTTTAAGACTTGAGCCAATTATTTTGGAGGCCTTAATTGGCAAGCATATGGTTTATATATGTATATGTAGTCATTATACCATTATATTAATAGATCACACTTAATGCAAAGTAAGTAATTTGCCTTGAAGTCAGCTTGCTCAAGTAACATGCTAAGATGTAATCTGAAAACAAATTAAAATATATTACTAACCATGCAAAATGCCGAGAAAATACTGACTTAATCCCATAATGAATTGAATATGGCCCATGCTCTTTATACCAGTCAAATTACAAAATTCTGCTGCGATTTCAACTCAGGTCTTACTTTAAATAGTATAATTAAGTATGTCTGTTGTAAATAGGTGATAATAGTTTTGTCTGATATTTCTCTTATTTACATTTCAACTTGAGTTTCACCTAGCACATACAGTCACTAAACTTGGTCATGAAAAAATACAATTAAATTCTCAGCACCATTATCAATTCGTAATTCATAAAAGTCTATGGACCGATCAGTAATAACTATTTGTTACTTCATTGTTTTTTTTAATACTCTTCTATAAACAGAAAATTCTGCCTTGTTTTACAATTACCTAGTACAATTCAAGTTTATTTTTTACAAAGGAAAGCCAGTTCCTTTCAGTAATGTATAGATACAAGTACATGTACCTGTATGCTATACCGGTAGTCTAGATGCACAAACTTCAAAGAGTTGTCAAGTTGGTAAAAGAAGAAAAAAAGCAGTAATACATGTACAATCTCATATTTTTACAGTGATATGCCATGGCATTATTTGCATTAGAAGGAATACAAAAAAAGAAAGAAAAGATGAACAGAGAAACATGAACATATACTTGTACATACAGAGAGACCGACAGACAAGGGGGGGGGGGGGGGGCAATAAACCATTAAAAAATACAATAGAAATTGCAAAATAATGCATTAAAATGAAACTAAAATAGCATGAACCAGCATGACTTTAGAGCAACTTAATAATAATATGTAAATCATGACATTATATTGTATAATAAATAAACACCTTTTCATACATTGAAACAATGTCTTACCAATAACATCACATCACAATAATGACCCACTGCCAAATGATTTCAGTCATCAACCACAAGAAAGGGTTTGTTAGTAGACAGAACTAGTGCTGTAGTCAAACGTTTAACCGCCCGGTATCCGACCGCCCATGGCGGATTCCGTTTTCAATTGGACGGTTTCGTTATCCCGTTTTTTTTTTTTTTTTTTAATAATTTTTTTTTTTTTTTTTATAATTTTTTTTTTTTTTTTTTTTTTTTTTTTAAAGTTTCGATTTATGCCCCTCCGCCTGGCACTATGCCTGGCAATGTCTCCCAGCTCAGTAATCGGTGTGATGACTTACCACTTGGAAACTAGAACAACACTCCAATTTGTCTGTCATCTTGGTTTGAAAGTAATCTTTGTAATAGATCTCAATATATATTCATCCAAGTTTAACACATGGTGTACCACAAGGTTCTATCCTAGGTCCTCTACTCTTTTTAATTTACTTTAATGATCTTACACATTATTCTAAAACGACATTGTTACTATTATTTCTATTATTTGTGACAAGTTCACAAGCACAAATCGGCACCTTCAGTTAAATCACCTTCCTGCTTTTTCACACAGCCAAAAAAAAAAAAAAAAAAAAAATGATTTTTTTTTTTTTTTTTTTTTTTTTTTTTTAATTTATTTTTTTAAATAAATCGTTTAACCGAAAACCGTCCGGTTTTGACAGGCGGTTAAACGGAATTGGAGATATCCGTGATGTTACAGCACTAGACAGAACTTACAGGCTTGTTTAGATTAAAGTGGTTTTTGTCAGTTATGAGTGATAGGTCAAAAACGTTTGCTTCCCATTACAAAATGTTCTCACAGGTAATCTATTACAGGAATGCCTATACTCAGGTTTGTAAACCCTACAGATGACCTTGTAAACTACAGCAGATTTTTGAAATAAAAAACACAGAAAATGTGTAAAAAAACAACATTCTTTAATTCCACTTAGCATTTGCAAAAACATTTCTGTTTAATAAATTTCCCATTCTTTAAAAATGCAAGTTATTGATCAGACAGTGTTGAATGCTTCCTTTAAAAAATACAAAATGGACTTTCATTTTCATATTGTGATTTCATTCAATTGACACAATTTTCCCCATTGAATACCTTCCTTGGTATGATATACGAAGCAGTTTAGTTGATGAAAGCGTGGAATGAACATTTAAGTAAACAGCTCTTTGAATCAGACTATTTGAATACAAAAAAAGGCAGCATGTAGCACAGCATCATGATGTTTGCTTTTAAACTAAGCATGATCGACAGCTCAGAGATTACACAAATACGGGACACATTATACAAATACAGGAGACATTCTACAAAAACAATATAAAGAACCAACAGCAGGGACATATAATATGACAGGGTATTTTAAATCAACGCAAACCTCAATTCATGCGAACTTCATGGCTGATAAACAAACGCGCACAGCAAGTATTGACAATTGCAAGTAGCTAATAAAAGCATAAAAACTGGTATGCAGAACAATGAGTTTGAACACACAAAGTAGCCACAGCAAGAAAACGAAAGCTTTGATAACAGCTGAGGCAAGAAACCATATAAATGACTCAATCCACAACATTTGGGCATCAAAAGGCTTCCAAATTTCATCTCACTATACCCTCTTATCCCTGCTGAATCCATACTGAATTCTGTTAGAGCCAGGTCTGTTAGAGCCACGAGACATCTAGAACGATTCAGCACCAGCTATGCACAATATGCAGGAAGTAACGCAGCTGCTGATTACAAAACACAGATGCTTCCTCTGAGTATCTGTCTGTCTGTCTTGAGAAGTTGAGACCGATGACATGATTTTGTGGCAGTGTATAATCAATTCATACATATTCTATAACAGCTACATATACATATATGCATCGATTGATATAGATACAAAAACACAGTTGGAGTCATCCTTTCCCAGCATTCACCTCAAATGATATGCAACTCTCGTCCTGTAGTCAATACTAAACGCGAGGCGCGATAGCTTTGTTGGTAGAGCAGTGGTCTCATAATCCGGTGACCCAGGTTTCGAAACCAAGTCGACACGCTAGTAGTGCCCTATGATAAGGCATTAATCCTCATTACCTGGTCCCTCGGAGTGGACCTAAAGCCGTCAGTCCTATGGTTGCTTACCAACAGGCATTTATGCTTTCTTAGCAGTCAGGTAAAATAACCACCACTAAACTAAACTAAACTCTTTAGCTTCTTCAAGAATCCATACTCCTCCTGTCCATTCTAGTATGCTAGATATATCAACTCTCTCAACTTTTATTATGTCAATGGTCCATCCTGCTGGATGTACTGTTGCTTCAGTATAACCCAGCCGGTGAGTTCTGCACTGCTTTTCGTTTCCTCTCTTCAGTGCTCGTCTTCTCTGGTTTCTTAGACTTCTTCTTCCCCGTACTGCCCTTCCCTCCATCCGTGGATGTTATAGATTCCTTAGCCTTGCTGTTCTTAGACGCATTGCTTCCTTTCAATCCCTGTGAGTCTTTATGTGTCTTCCTTGGAGGCTGCTGCCTCTCCAGCGATGAATCTGACGTCATTGATCCATTGACAGGGGACTGGGACTGATGCGATGAGGTGGGCGACAGCTCCGATGATCCCTTGGGGCTCTTGGTATCCTTGCGTCGGATGTCTTGAGGATGAAGGAAGTCTTTGTCCAGCGGAGAAACGAGTTCTAGCTTGATCCGATGAGGAGAGGCTAAGATACTCTTGACCACCTCTTCGTGTTTGGCCCACTTTACGTCATTATCATTCACACCGATGATGAAATCACCTTCTTTCACTCCACTTGCCTGAGGAAGAGATTGATTAAAAAAATCCACAATTACAATACATCTTTTCTAATTTCACTAATTACAAATTACATTTTCTTTCATGTGAAATCATTATACCCAAAATCTGATCAGAAATACCATTCTAATAAATTCCATTACCAGTAATTTATTATTGCAACAGAATAAAGATGCACATCAACCTGTTTCCAACAAATTCGAACGGATAAGGCTAATCTTTTAATACTTGCAAATTATATCCCCCAAAATCATCTACAAAACTACAGAACACTGAAAAAATGAGAATTACTTTTATTTTGCAATAAGTGATTTTGTTCACACCAAGATTTCATATATCATGCATTGTGTCAAACTCTTTGGTAACTGATCTACATGTTTTGTCTCAACATACACTAAAGGTATACAAATCCTAACTTACTGCTGCAGCATATCCCTGGTCAACTTGAGCCACGATGACCGGTGAGTCTCCCCTGACCGTGAAACCATAGCCTCCCATCCCTCTCACAATCTCCACTATCCGTGGAGCTGTCCATTGGTTACGACTGTTGAAGATGGCAAGAGGACCCTACGCAAGAACAAATGCAAGGTATTGTTACAGGAAATGTTACATCTCTGAACATGCACAATTACACAATTTCTTGTTAATGATCTAAATCATTCTGGATTGAATGGAGTATTTCTGATGATTAAGAAGATGGGCAATTTCAACTACATCAATCTGATGATACAGCCTGCTCACAAAATAATGATCCAAATTTACATTTCATAATGATAATAGTAACAATAATTGGTGGTGGTTGTATATTTTACCAGACTGCTAAAAAAAAGCATAAATGCTTGTAAGTAAGCAACCAGATGGCCGACGGCTTTAGGTCCTCGCCGAGGGACCAGGTAATGAGGTTTAGTGCCTGACCAAAGGGCTATAATAATTCAACTATCTAAAGTTATACCTAAAACAGATTTAATTATCTTGAATCACCTCCCCCCCCCCCCCCCCCCCCAAGCATTTTCTGCGGAGTAACAATTTTTTGATGAACAATGGCAATGGGGAGACAAATTTTTGAGGTATATTAATATGCATTCCTACAACTTTCAGGAACTTTGGAGAATATCCAGATCGTTTTAAAGAACCACTTCTACTTACCACTAACAACATACAGTGACAATTTTATTCTCCATTAGGAATTTAAAGGAAGAAAGAATTCTATCAAACTAACAAACAGAATAATAGAGAGAATTCTTACTAGATTATGGAAGATATCTTTGACTTGGACTCTGGTGAAGTCTGGAACATGAGGCTTGGCAATCTGTGTGGTTTTACCTGAAAATAAGAAAGATAGAAGCCATGATTATTCAGGTCTCACATTGATAGATAATGCATGTGATTAGAAAGCAAGAAGTTGTTACGTTGTATGAAGAAGAATTTCAACACTATCAATTGCACACCAAATAACAGATTTTCTTTTTGGATTCTGACATAAAAAGCTATCAGGGATGCTGCAGTAACTGATGACTTCCTTAATGAAAATGATCTGATTCAATTACATGACAGTTGATATCAAACTGTCTCATTGTCTTAAAACCATGAGGAAAATAAAAATGAGGATAAGGTAAGAAAATGCATCAATTATTGTTAATCAAAATAATTCCATTGAATTAAAAAGCTAATGAATTTGGAAGTTGGTCAAATGAATAAATTAAATGATATGATTTCCATTAAATAACAGTTTGATATCAAACTGCCTCATTGTCTTACAACAATAAGGAAAATAAGAATGGGGAGAAGTAAAGAAAATGGATCAATTATTATTAATCAATATTAATTTCATTGAATTAAAAAGCTAACGAATTGGAAGTTGGATGAATTATAACATAATACTTCTCTAGTTTGTGTGCAGAATTATCTCAGAAAAAATGGGGCATTCATTTTTGTGCTTTCAAAGGGAGTGGAGAATGTGCATACATTGTGTGCGGGTAAGCCCAAATCTGATGACCGGGGTAATATTATGTACTGCGCCTAGAAACAAAGAATTAGGCGCATCATAAATGTGAGCTATCATTATTATAATTATTAAGACGAATACTCACTGAGGATTACAGGTGCATCCGGAAGTTCAAAGAAGTCATCCTCGTTGTCAAGGGACTGGTACCTGTGCATGGATTTACTGTGGAACTTCTTAAGAACCTCCTTCAATGTGTCAATCTTACGAAGCTGCTTTGAGAGGTCGTGAACCCTGAGGGCCTCCTCATGAAGCATCAGAGCCTGTCGAATGTGTGCCTTGCCTGCGGTGGTTAAGAGACAACACATTCATGTTACTCATCAATGATACTTAAAGGGATCTGGTAACTTTGTCTCAGATTCTGAAACAAAATCCTGGATTTAGTTCATGCTGCAATGATGATTATAAACCTTTAGGTCAGTCAGGAACACCATGACTTTTACAAGCCGATCGCCTGTCTGATTATCAAGATATTTATGATTGGAAATCGAAACCAAATTTCGCGTTTGCCTAATGCTTTCATAACACTACGGTCTATTGGGGAAAACAAGTGTGGTAAAACCGGTCACTCAAAGATTTTTACTTTTTTTAAGGCACTTCTTGATCATTTTGAAGCGCAATTTTGTTAAGGGCTTCAATATTACACCATATTACAGACACTGATAACACTGATAACACTGATAACACTGATGACATTGTTAAACGATGCCTTTAACCCATTTACTACTGAATTATTACATTCCCATAGGCTGTAATACAGATGCTACCCTGTTTCTAGAGGCAATGGGTTAGGGGGAATCAGACTTTATATAACATCTATACTCCTCTGTACAGCAGGTGAATATTTCATGAGGGTGTCTAGTTTTGGGTCAAACAGTCTCAATCTACGTGGAATATTTGGTTTCAAACACCTGTGCAAGGAAGCAAGGGAGGGGGACAAATATTGATCACATAAACTCAATCTTGTGTCATGCTCAGCATGGCCCGGGGCTTTCTTTCACTCACAAATACATGTACATGTTCTTCAGAGAGAGAGAGAGAGATAGAGAGATAGAGAGAGAGAGAGAGAGAGAGAGAGAGATAGAGAGAGAGAGAGAGAGAGAGATAGAGATAGAGAGAGAGAGAGAGAGAGAGAGAGAGAGAGAGACATTGATGTGATATACACTGTACTGTAATCCTTTGAGAGTTGGAAGAGGAATTGGGAAGACAAAGATTGCTTCAGAACTATGTGATAGCCGGTAGCTACCAGTGGTAACAGACAGGATAAAACAAGTTGGTGATATCACAATTTGATTACACCTACTGTACAACATGATCACAGGTACTTTGCAAAAATGAACTCAAGACAAGTTCAACCCCCTATTGTATGTTCAGATAACATTTACGTCGTTGTAATGTTCGCTCTTTCATACTTCAACAGGCGACGTCCAAGATCACTGAAAATACCTTAGCTTGTTTTTGTGATCGTGTTCTACATCTATTCCACAGCTTATGAAAGATCTTTGCCTCTTGACCTGTGCTTAGGATACATTGAATGCCGCCCTCTCTGATAAAGGTAATCACTCACCTAATCTCATTCTTTCTTCCCAGTTCTGAGGAGGCTGAAGGTCGGATTTCTCTGTGTTGTACATGGAGGGGAAGAGCCTCAGTAACGTCTCTGAATCGTAATCTTTCTCTGTAATATAAAAAAGGAATAAAATAAAGATTCCGTCATTAAAGAGACTCTTTAAGTTGCTACAACGGAAGAGTTACTGCAAAGCTTGTGATTTTTAGGAGGCATATGGATGACTGAACAATCTCTTTTCTTCTCTCCTGGAGCAGACAGATTGACATGTAATTTATGGTTTTCCTTCTAGACTCACATGCAGGAGTGTGTCAAACCCTAGCTGGCAACCTGAACCAAGAGATCGCTTAACAAGTTCAACAGGATAGTTGAAATCAATTGGATTTGTTCTATGATACATCCAAAAACAGAAACATAATAGTTGTTGTGGCCAAATAGCCAAAACAACATCTTCTGGCGATTATAACACTGGCAGCTAATGTCAGTTTGAGAGTACGAATCTGACTAGACTGTCTTAACCATAGACATCAAAACAGTCACAGATAAATACCTATATGATGCATCAAAGAACAATTCCCCCTGATACACCATGATATGTTTAAACAAAAACTTTTCATCGGTGTAAAAAAATAATCTTTTTACCACTTTTAAGACTTTCCAGAGCTGATTTGGTTGCCATACCTTGATTCATACTAGGACCGACAATAGCAATGGCAGCGTAGTGGTGCGCCCTTGCTTTGAAGTGCTGTGATTTGACGAGGACCATTGAGATCCATGAGTAAGGGATGTAGTCTTTAACCGTCTCCTGCATCATCATCTTGTGAACCTTGGTATACATGTCAGACACCTGCAAGAGAAGATGAGGGTTTCATGATTATTCTTGCAAAAGGATCTGCATTTTTTTTGTTAAATTGCAATTATTCTGTGGTTATAACAGCTTTTTCATCAAAATTATTTTTGCAGGCACTGATTTATAAAGTCATTTTCATCATTGGAATTGCAAATTTAATCCTTTAGTCTTGATAGTATCAAAAGCATTTGCAAGTGTTCCCTTTGTGACTTCAATAATATCAAGACTGTGAAATACTCATAATCTTATTAGTCACTTTTGTAAAAATGGGACATGAAAGGATTTTATAATACTTTGAAATTTACACTACAAATGGTTTGATTCAATAATAATGGGTGAATGATAGATATAGAATCTATTGAATACATACTAATAGTGGTATATTATAGTTTCATTACTTCAGCTGACATTGTAATGTCACTGTATAAGTAATTAAGCTATAATGTGCTGGCAATTATGCTAGATACATTTATAACTATAAGCCTTCAGCAAGGAAAGATAGGAGCATGAATGATATACTTACAACTGAAGCTTCTTTGGCAACCCTGACACAGCTCTCTATCGTCTCCTCTACTCCATCTAACACCAGCTTCTCAAAGATGCACTCTTGAACCTGGGCCTGGAGTATCAAATAAATAGATGTCATTCTAGTTAACTTTTCACTAGCACTAGTTGCTGACATTAGAATAGAATGATTGAAATCATAAATCAGCTCTAATACCATCCCATTGTCCTCCTATCAGCATCCAATCCTATAAAATGCAACATACTTAGAATCTTATCCCCTAATCATCACAGTATTAAGCCTGAGATAACAAAGCATTCCACCCATGATAAATGCATATCTTTATTAAGGAAAATCACTTCCTTAGAAAGAAAAAAAATATATTGAAACGTTGATGATTACTTGAGAAGAATTACAGTAAAGCTAAAATTAAAACAAATCCTTCATTCAGTATGAATTTCAATATTCATAAATGTGTTTGTTACATCTCAGTATCTTTTAATAATATTCAGCCATGAATAACTACATCTAATTTTGCCTGAAATCCATCTAGGCTCCTATGATTAGTTCAACTTACCAGCATGAGTCCACCAAGCATAGCCAAGACGGGTCCGCTCATGTCCATGCTAGGAGCATGGCTGAAATTCTCTCCTAGATACTTGAATGCCCCTGCTGCACTCTCAAAGCATTCTATGGCCTTGCTGACTCCATCTCCCATTGTTCTGTCCTGTGTAGTATGATAGAGAAACAAGAGGTGGGGAAGGGTTAATACTATTCGCTATGGTTCATCAAACTGAGGATGCATTAGAAATAAAATCAGTCAATACATATACTGTCAAACCTGCTTTAGTTATCACCTGTCTATATTTATTCAGTTTTATTTAAAAAACAGAGTAGTCTTTTCAGTGCCAGAGGCCTGCTTTACAAAAGAGCCCTGTATAAAGACCACATTTTTCATTTCCCTTGAATGTGGTTTCTCATTGAAACCTGTACTAAAGGAACCTGTTCATAAAGACCACCTGTCTATAGAGACCACTTTTCAAGTTTCCCTTGAGCGGTCTTTATATGAAGGTTTCACTGTATATTGTTTTTTTTTTACTGTTGCACTCATCTTGTGACATAGGAAAAAAGCCAATTTCATGCTTGCAGGTATGACTCGTGGTGATCATCAGAGCTCTATAAACGTTTATAAGTACCGTAATATATACAATATAATGACATCAATTTACTTAATTAGTTGGTTATTGCCATTTTATTCTGTGGAGTGTCAAACGGGCAGACCCAAAAGTTGGATGATGGATCTTGATGCAATTGCCAATTACTCCAGTCAGAGCAAACCTGATAGAGAATTGCACATGTACCTTTCTCATATACATGTACATGTGTACAATTTATTATGGGCTGACTGCTTGAAAGCATCCCACACTTAAAAAAAACACCACAAACACTGAATAATTCAAAAGAGCTTGGCTAGTAGATTTGAGGGTTGATACAAAAGAGCCATCTTTCAAAAGATTGCTGTAAACCTAGCGCTTCGACCTCTACTTTCTTTGTGGAATTATTCATGAACCTTTCATCTACATGGTGTCAGGGACAGGGTAGTGATCCATAAAAGTCACCTTTTTATTTCATGAATAGCTGCTGAAGATATTATTATCTCTGTGAAGGATTTCATGATTCTATAAATATTTGCAAGGACATTTGGTTTACAATTTTGTTATTAAGTATTGCCATGGACCTATTACGGATGGACATTCATCGTTTTCTTCACGAATTCATTGTGATTGTCTCCGTCAATGTCGTCTCAATATTACATTCCGTACATGTTTCTTCCCTTTGGTCTCATCATGGTCGCCGGCAAAAAGCCGGGACAGAATCAAGATAGTGATTTTACACATGTTAATCTATACATGCGCAGAAGATAATTACTCGCCTAAATCATGGAAAATAGATGTGCAGTTCTGGCTTATAATCGGAAATTGTTGTTCCGTGTACTGTACATGTATTTCTTTTTGAAAAGCATGTTGATATTACCAGATAGAGGTTATTTTGGGGTTGTGATTTAAAATCCCGCTTCCCCCTATTTCCTCATAATATTCCAGAGTTACACCGCACAGGAATGCTACAGATCATGGCCTTCTAATTGTTTTATATGGTCATAGGTGTGTGCGAAAGTTTGCAAATCAGTAATAATACATTTAATATCACCAAAATCGTCTGCTTTTCAACTTTGCTGCTCCCCATTGAGGATGCTTTTATTTAAGACACACTCTTACAGAGCACACCATCCAAACAAAACCCAAGAGAGGGAAACTGCTCCTTTGTCAATGACCGACAATGCTTACGCAGTCGTTATTGTTAAAACAGCTGAATGTTCTCATTAAGATGCACATAATCAGAAGGCGGCGACTATGATTGGATCAAAGAAAGAATAACGTTGAATGTCCATCCTTATTAAGTCCATGGTATTACTGAGCCAAATGGATGTATTCATTTTACTGGTATATGTATCTAAAAATAAACAATCAAAGCATTTTAAGTTTTGACATTGATTGTCTACATATACATGCTCACACTTACATCCATAGGCGCCGGAAGTGGGGGGGCAGGGGGGGCAGTTGCCCCCCCAGTCAAAAAAGTGGGGGGGCAAAACGCATTTTTGCCCCCCAAAAACGCCCCCCCCCCCCCTCCAAAAAAAAAAAAAAACAGTAAAGGAGTAAACATGGTTTGTATTTTTAATCCAAAAGAACGTAACAATAGTAAAAACCTGAATTAAATCACATATACAATTCCAATCAAAGAAAAAGGAAAGTTCACAGGAATTAAATTTCATAAACATTGCGCATGCCACCTATACGGTATTTTAAATGGAGGTCTCTATTATAGCGATACGCGCATATCGTGGACATATTGTGCGAGAATGGGAAAGCGTGTCCGTTTTTTTGTTATAGGGGTGAGAAGACATGAGCCCCTGAACGCTGGCGTACTGATAGGGGGGGGGGGGGGGTGGGGTTATGTATTTCTTATTCGAAACAAGTGATTTACAAATTTTGATGTTGTGACATGATTTTCCGGCATTTTTTCTCCATTTTTTTTGTAAGTCATACCTTTTTATGCGTTTGTTGGAAAATAAGAAATTCCCACATTACAGTCAGGCGAAATACGCTTATTTAGAAGCCTTTATGTCATGGTCTGCAAAGTGGCTGGGCTCGAGCCCCACCCCCCCACCCCTCCTTTTTTTTTAAAGTATGTTAAAGAGAAAAAGAAAGAAAGACGGAGAGAAAAATAAGTGACCTGCCAATGTCACAAATAAGGTGTAAACTAGATGGAATTCGACTGCGCGCAGTCGAAAATGATGCCTCCGTTATAGAGCAATTTTACAAACCAAAACAGAAAAAAAAAATTGAATTCACGTTCAATGGTAATCCATTGACAGGTTCTCAGAATATTGTGATTACAAGCAATTTCTCATATACATATATGACCCTTTGATCTTTGACCTCATGACCATAAAATCTACTCAGTTCATTGGCTCTGCAAGATGTTCTGAGTTAAATAGTAATCCATCTGTCAGTTCTAATGAGAATGCGTTCACAAGCTATTTTTGCATACATAATGGGCCCATGACCTTTGACCTTTGACCTTATGAACCAAGAATCTACTCAGTTCATTGGCTCTGCAAGTAACAAACATGACCTAATTTTGGCATGAATCCATCAATCGGTTCTTGAGATAACGCGATCACAAGCTGTTTTTGCATTCATAATGTGCGCTGTGGCCTTTGACCTTTGACCTACGTGCTCCAAAATCTAATCAGATTGTCTTCTTATGGTGATACACACTATCATTAAGTTTGAAGTTTAAATCTCCAGTGGTTCTTGAGATATTATGATAACAATCTCAATGTATGGAATTTCATAAGTTGACCTCTGTGACCCTTGACCTTTGACCTACGTGCTCTAAAATCTAATCAGATCGTCTTCCTATGGTGATACATACTATCCTTAAGTTTGAAGTTTTTACATCTCCAGTGGTTCTTGAGATATGATAACAATCTCAATGTATGGAATTTCATAAGTTGACCTCTATGACCCTTGACCTTTGACCTACGTGCTCCAAAATGTAATCAGATTGTTTTCCTATAGTGATACACACTATCACCAAGTTTGAAGTTTAAATCTCCAGTGGTTCTTGAGATATCATGATAACAATCTCAATGTATGGAATTTCATAAGTTGACCTCTGTGACCCTTGACCTTTGACATACGTGCTCCAAAATCTAATCAGATCGTCTTCCTATGGTGATACATACTATCCTTAAGTTTGAAGTTTAAATCTCAAATGGTTCTTGAGATATCGCGCTAACAAACTCAATACAAGGAATTTCATAAGTTGACCTCTGTGACCTGTGACCTTTGAACTACGTACTCCAAAATCTAATCAGATCGTCTTCCTATGGTGATAAATACTATTCCCGAGTCTTAAGTTTAAATCTTAAATGGTTCTTGAGATATTGTGATAACGGTCAAACGGGACGGACGTACGGACGGACGTACGGACGGACGGACGGACGGACGTACGGACGGACGGACGTACGGACGGACAACCCGAAAACATGATGCCTCCGGCACCACCTTCGGTGGCGGAGGCATAAAAATGCTCATCTGACCGTAATTAAATGCTTAAAACCCCAGAGCTTACGGGGGCTCCACCCCCGGACCCCACCAAGGGACCTAAGGCGGGCCCCTGGATGCTCATTTGACCGTAATTAAATACCTATAACCCGCGAGCTTCCAGGGGCTCTGCCCCCTGGACCCCACCAAGGGCCCTAAGGCGGGCTCCTGGATGCTCATCTGACCGTAATTAAATACCTAAAACCCCTGAGCTTCCGGAAGCTCTGCCCCCTGGAACCCCACCAAGGGCCCTAAGGCGGGCCCCTGGATGCTCATCTGACCGTTATTAAGTACCTCAAACCCCTGAACTTCCGGGGCTTTGCCCCCTGGACCCCACCAAGGGCCCTAAGGCGGCCCCCTGGATGCTTATCTGACCTTAATTAAATACCTAAAACCCCTGAGCTTCCGGGGGCTCTGCCCCCTGGACCTCACCAAGGGCCCTAAGGCGGGCCCCTGGATGCTCATCTGACCGTTATTAAATACCTAAAACCCCTGAGCTTCCGGGGGCTCTGCCCCTGGACCCCACCAAGGGCCCTAAGGCGGGCCCCTGGATGCTCATCTGACCGTAATTAAATACCTAAAACCCCTGAGCTTCCGGGCGCTCTGCCCCCTGGACCACACCAAGGGCCCTAAGACGGCCCCTGGATGCTCATCTAACCGTAATTAAATACCTAAAACCCCTGAGCTTCCGGGGGCTCAGCCCCTTGACCCCCTGCCGAGGCTCATGCCCTGGACCCCACGCCAATTTACGCTCTACCTGATCGATAATACTCCACTTTGAAAAACGTTCCGCGGGACCTGCATATAACGTGTAAGACTGGTGGTGATGCAGATTTTTCGTCTGCCCCCCCCCCCCCTTCCGAATTTTTTTCTCATTACGTCACTGCCCCTGGAAAGTGAGCCCCCTGGAATGTTTGCCCCCCCAATCCCAAACTGCTTCCGGCGCGCCTGCTTACATCACATTACATATATTCAGTGCATCCATTGGCAACTTTCTGTCTCCTGAACAATATTCAAAGACTTTATCATGTCAAATTCAAAAATATAAGATAACATGGCAATGAACCAAAGCGGCAGGTGCAAATATATACAGTGCAGTTTTACTGCATGCTAATTCATATCCTGGATACCGGTAGTTTTTTTTACAAAGACAAACAATTGGCCGATTCTATCACACAAGTAGTTTGTCATCAACCCATATTTTAAAGAATGCACAAATGGGTCATATTCTACATTCCTAGGGGATTGGTGTTATGGAATCAACAATGCTATATTAATAAGCCATGGACTATTGCCCAATTACATTGAAATGGCGTCATAATAATAGCCAGGTTGTCAACAATTGTATAATATTTTTCTGAATTCCAGAATTGAAATTCATGTAGATTACTGGTGACTAATACAATAAAAATGGGCTTGATGGTCAGGGAGTTGCAAGCTAGATAATTTAATGTTCTTAAATGGCATTAGTAAACTATCCTTCTCTCTGTATGGAATTTCCAAAGTATCTTCACCTTCATACGGAAGGTGAGAAAGGTAATTCTTGTATAAAACACTTTGATCAAAAGCCTTTGCTAATGGTAAAAAAAAAAATCAATAGCATAAGCGTGGCTACAGCAGTGCATACAGGGTGTATGTCAAGGCACACATGATTAGAAGATGCATGAAATCGATCCCAACCACCAAAAAATGATTTTCACTACTTTTTTTTTATTTGGCCTTCAAAAGACAACTGTCTGATGTGACATCCAAGTACTCTGAATTAAGTACTGTCAAATTGATGTCATGATCCAATGTAGTGCTTTAACCATTTCATGGTAGAGCTTCACATCTGTACTGCAGTCAGGAGAATTAGTCTCCATGTAACATTGTGGCCCCATTTATCACCACATACACTGCACATGTATTGATAATGTCACCAGCCACATAGCACGCATATTCTAGAATGCCTATGTAAACTAATCTTGCCGAGGGCTCACTAAAATGGCAACTCCCTTCGTCAAAACACCTGTGGGTGGCACTCCAGCTCTGCATGCATTGAGTGTCACCTTATGAATCAAACACTCCATCACGATTAACATCAACAAGCAAGCTAGCTAGGCTGTTTGAAAGATGTATACAGACGGTTATGACAATCGTCTGTATCTTTCAATGGACTTGCTGGTTGCTGATGCCTGAATTTCAAGGAATTATCAAAATACCGAAAGTTCTTGAATGGTTCTGAATGGTTTCGACTTTCTATTGCTAAACAATGCAAAAGAAAAAGACAGAAAAGTAGAATGAAGACCAGTGATGAAAGAGGAACAGATAATATGAGAGGGAAATAGACAGGCAGGGAGATAAAGTGAGAGAAAGAGAAAGACAGACAGAGAGACAGAGAGAGACAGACAGACAGAGAGAGAGAGAGAAAGAGAAAGAGATAATGAGAGCGAGGAAGAGGGATTAAAAAAGGGAAGGTAAATTGGGAGAGGGGAAGAGAAAAAATAGAAACTATTGATGGAGACACTTGTACAAATGAGTAAAGTGAATTGAAAGATAGAGGAAAAGGGATAGGGAGAGTGAGATGGACAAAAGGAGACAGATAACTAAGGAAATACAGGGAGTGACCCATTTACCATCACATATGAAAACAAAAAATTATTTCAAGGTGTGCTAGATGTAAAAGAATCTCTCACATGGTGCATCCGCAAACCTACTGTATAATAATATTTAAGTTTGATATATATACTCTAACATTTGTCACAAACCACAAATTCCTGCCAACACTTAAACCTGGCTCAAAGCCCACCTCACAAACCTACATACCACAAAGTAGGATATGAGGACACCCAAATTGCATGACTTTCATTATCCTCTTATACAGGGCGTATCATAATAAAGGATATTGAAGTTTAATGACGATTTATATGAAAACTACTGATTTCATAATCAAGCATTTTATGTCTGTTGTAAAGGACAGAATGTCCTCTTTTTAATGACACCCCGATCATACTACTACTGTCACAGTTGACTGAATAACAAAGCATTGCTGTCCACCATGTGAAAGGTGCACTGTGACAAGTTAGCATTCACAGATAAATTCTAAAGATTAGTGCTTGTGTCAGCCCAGACATATTGAAATGCTGAACAATGAGTGGATTATGTGTCTAAGAAGGAAATGTTATCAAACTTGGCACAGTGCACCTTTCACATGGTGGACAGCAATGCTTTGTTATTCAGTCAACTGTGACAGTAGTAGTATGATCGGGGTGTCATTAACAAGAGGACATTCTGTCCTTTACAACAGACATAAAATGCTTGATTATGAAATCAGTAGTTTTCATATAAATCGTCATTAAACTTCAATATCCTTTATTATGATACGCCCTGTATATGTAAGTAAACCAAATTCAGATCAATCTGGCAGAGTCTTGTGAGTAAATCTACCATCCCTGGCCTGAGTCATGAAATACACATGAGCCAAATCCCCTCGTTTGAATCTGCCATCTCCTATGATACTTCCACTGATTAAAACATGTAACAGTAGACAGACTGTTATTAGGACGAGCTAGCGTCTTCATCACGCCCAGGCCAGTGCAATAATGATGAGGCGTGTGATCTCTGGCATCTTTCACACCAGTTACTAGTCTCACAAAATATTAGAATGTGTCCACATGTGCTTTCTTATTAATCTACCTCTTGAAATAACATTGAAATGAATCTTGCATGTTTAAAGAAAAATAATATGTATATTCTAAATATCTCCAATTATTTTAAACCTTACAAGAGCAACAGGATTGCTGCCTCTTGTTTGTACAAATGCTTTTTAAAATGTCATCCTTCACCTCTATTGCCCCTGTTTCCCTACCTTAATTGTTAATACCTAAGGATTGTGTTTTACTTATTTCTTTCTTTTTTCATAACTGTGGGTCTCAATTCTGATGAGTGAATGTACATAAATGAAGTCCCTTGATAAGAACACAATGAAACCTGTACAAGAAGGGTCACATAATATGAGAGCACATGGCCATGTACTGCTCCAAACATGAAATAGGAGAAAACCGCAATCAATTAATTATTCATTTCAGAGGTGCCTAACAGACTCTGACTTGTTTGTATTTAATAAAGCACAGTTACGTGGCAATGAGTGGTGAGAGAATCCAGAGAAAGTAAACGGCAATATGGGAATAAGAAAGCAGAACGCTCCAGGGCTTGATGATGCCACATTCGTGATTCATTCATGCCCTTTTTTTTAAAAGCCAAATAATCACATCCAATTAAAATCACTTCTCCAGGCAATATTCCAGCTCAGATGAAGTTGTCACGCTTCTTTCTCAATACCTGGGTCTCCTCAAGTCGCATCATAAAGCAAACTGTTTCCTGAAGTCCATATCTATATTCTAATAACCATGTGTCCATATCTATATTCTAATAACCATGTATCTCTTGGTACATTTTCCGTTGACAAGCAGGTTTCGTATTTGACACTGGTGTCTTTTACCTAATAATCAACTTTCCAGATTTTACTGGTCAAATTATCCTAGTATCACTGCTATATTACTCCCCTCTTTATCATTTCATTGTAATGGAATTTACAATTTAATAATTGTTCATGTCTTTAAATGATCCGAATAAAGACTAAAAGACTGAAATTCATGAAGCGGGCAAAGCAATGAGCATCATTTTGGAGACTTAAATTACTTCTATGATAAAAATGACAGTTTTTTTAAATCATTGATTCATTGATTTTATGACAATATCAATCAGTAAGATTGAAGACGCTTCCAATTCATTTCTTACTTACTTTTATGTTTACTTTGATGTTGAAGCGTAAAGATAAACTTATTTGCCCCTCCAGGTAATGCTATCTCTCTGGTATGGACTGTACTTAAAGGGGTGGCTGTACCAATATTTCCCAAGGATGGATTTGAACTGATTTACAGTTGTTGCTCTGACTGCTGAGTCTGGTAAGGAATTCCAGTTGTTGCAACTTCGCACAGAGAAGGAATTTTGACGAAGCACAGATTTACACTTTGGCTTCCTTACTTTCATAGTGTGGCCTCTGGTTCTGGATTCATGGACTAGTTGAAAAAATTTATTGATATCCACCCGGTCAATTCCTTTCATAATCTTAAAGATTTGAATCAGCTCAGCTCTCTGTCTTCGGTAAATGTTCCATTTTAATGATAGTATCAGAGATTCATTATAATGGGACCACCTCATGTTGGGTTCGCAACAATGCCCTTATATGCCCCCAATGCTTACAATGTACAGACTGTACTAACCTGCTTTGCTCCCATCTGGGTAAAGAGAGCTGAGATGTTAAAGAGAATGCTACCCTTCTCAAAAGCAACAGACTTCTGTAGTGATGGCACACCTGTCAATGCATCGTACCTGTAGCAAACATACAAAGGATTGGAAATAATGTTTAATCATAAATGGCAATAATAATTCTTTTTCAATAACAATTTTCAAAAAGATTATAAATTTCATATTTGAAGGTACTGTATACTCTCTACTGGGGAGCAGAGAGTGATTTCGCCTTGGAAATGGAAAGCTTATAATAAAATCTCTGGAGAACTAAAAATGGGTTCTGAAAATAAACACCAATGCCTTTTCTTATTGACAATTTGGTGTGATTAAATCTCAGCTTTCAATAGCAAACAAAAATGAGCTCCTATAAAAAGAAAAAAAATCTATGGGTAATTTCAAATTTCTATGAGGGCCTGTAGCCCCTGACCCCCATACACCTTTGTATATTTCTGTTCATAGCACTTATTGGATATTCTTTATTTGTTGTCAGTATTCAACACCTATAAGGCAACTAAATGAAAGCAGTTTTTTTGGTGCACTTAATTGGCATTCAGACTTTGACCACTTAGATGAAACTCACACGTAGAAATACATGCCAACTATAATGCAGGTACATTAACAATGTATGGAGTGAATAATGAAGTTCATTTTACACATAATGCAAGTAAATATCAATCTTCCAAATCCCATTTCACTTCAATTGATTACATGTATTTTAAACCAGTAAATATTGAAAATTAATGAACCATACATACGAACACTATAGCTTTCTGCCAGCAGAATGGAAACCTAACAAGCCCTAAGTGTTGCTCTTTTCAAGTTCCCTCCTCCTGCTTTACAGCCTGAGCTTTTAAACAATTTAAACAATCTCATGGTTCTGCACCATAAATCTGGCATAACAAATCTGAATCAGATTCCCACGATTCCCTAGCTGCTAGCCTCCCCACAACAGTTTGGTTCAGTGTTCGAATCATAATCGAATCACAAACAAATAGGCCATTCATGCGCGATGACAAGTCTAGGTATTTTCTATTGTTATTTTCTTCGGTTGTGGCGCGAGAAGTTAGACAATAACCCACTGTGTGGCCAACTGGCCATGAATTGTGGCACCTTCATGTATGTGACTGTTAAAGGGTATTTAGAACATTATCTGTCTTCTACATTCTTATAGGTATTAAATTGGAGAAGGTTTTATTTTCTCTTTCATGAGCAAATCCATTTGGAATCATCCTTAGTTTTTAGGCTACAAAGATGTATCTTAGCAGATTTATAATGAAAAAAAATTGTATTCAGACAAAACATTGTTGTACTAAAAGTTCTAGATCTTGCCCATACAGCAAGACACTTGGTACTTTTCTATTGAACACTTAAGCTCTTCCACAAAAAGCTAGTTTGCATCCCATTAACCTCTTTAATATTTGTTTATGTATGATGTTCTACATAGAGTGTTGGTTTCATAGAAATATGTTCAGACTCCAAAAAACAATCTAACCCTGTATAGCATGCAATCTTCAACATTTTCTTGATTTTGTCTTTGCCAAAAATGATGATAATAATAATATGGAAGTTTATGTGCATGTATTTCATTGCATATCAGAGCATGTATCATATGAAAAAATGTAAACATAAAATCTCATTCCAAAATTCCATCTTTGAATGCTGTATTTCAAAATGATGCATATTTGAGGCCTCTTATCTTAAACAAAGTTCAAGTGCGATAACAGGGCATATCTCAGAAGGAAATAAATTTCACAGTCCTTGAATCGTGAAAAATATCAATTATATTCACAGACGATATCCAAATAAGGGAGCGCCATCCAAATTCTTTGGAGAGGTCACTTTTTCAAATAAATAACTTGACTGAAGCTGGCTGGTATACTCTGCTTGGCAATAACCTAAGAAGAGGCCTCAACTAAAATGTCACAATTCTTGTCAATATTTACTTTAGGGCTTCGGTATTTGCATGATTTCTTTTATATCTGGACAAGGGGTTGGCAGTACAGGTCTTACAGAGGAATTGTGTATGTAATGCATATAAAAAATGGCCTCAATCTTTTTTTAAATTAACTTGTTACATATACTTATTCACAACAACATACTATGTACATGTATGGCTCTGCAATTTCTAAATAAAGAAGATAAAGTTGGCAATAATAGGAGGGAATAAAAACATTGTGTTGACTTGAATATAACTATACAGCTCAAATGCTTGGTGAATATCAAATGTATTTTTGGAATATCTGCATTCGTAATGTTTGCTCTTTTGTGTAAATGTCATATTTCAAGTGTATTGCAATCAGCACCCCCCCCCCCCCCCAACAACATAACAGAAGATAGAGACAGTATATCTCTGGACATATACTGATGTGGTATATAGTATAAACATGTACATACTGGTATGCTGATTCAAAAACAAATAATAACTGTTCTATAGCAAACTTGTGTTCATCCAATGTTAGCATCATACAGATGGAATACACACCATCTTTCAAAGAATAATTGATGAATAACCAAGTCCTTGAAAGGCATCTATTACTGCTGGCACACATACACATCACAATTTCCTTTCACGTGACATGATGATAGGCCTATTTGGCAAAGATAATGCTACAGTAACATGTCAGTTTGCCAAGATGAAAGCTTGCACTTTCAAACTCAATTATTATGTTATCATTTGATAAAAACAAAGTTGTTTTTTCTATTCCTTTATCTCTTGATGATGAAGCTCACTTCAGCCAAGTTGTTCACCTTGACTACCTGTTCTTCTGTGACAAGCTACAGAGAAACATACAGCTGACTCATTAGATAGCATGCTCAATACCAGATCATACGCAATATTTGAAGGTAATATTTTATCACAAAAGACACTCCCCCTGTCCACACACAACATTTTCCGTGACTAGTCATGATTAGCTATACCGTTTCGCGATAGTGATACCGTTTCGCGATAGTTTTACGATGAAAATTGTAGGTGTGGACGCTCACTAACGATACGTCGTATAACGAAACTAGTCTAACGAAACGCAGGTTTGGGCATCGTTTCGAACTGAAACTCAATAAAGAATCACGCCTAATCACGGAAATGTTGTGTGTGGACAGGGGGACCCCCTGGGGGAGTGTAACTAGTGTAACTAACTGGGCGGGGCTTAACGTGACCTCGAGCGAAAAGAGACCAGACTGTAGAGTTTCAGGATTACTTTCTTCTGTTTATGGACATCCTTGAATTTATACGATGATTATTTATATGACGTTTCTTGTGTGTGGACACTTTGAAATTTAGACTATGATTCTTTATACGACGTTTCGTTATAGAGTTTCGCGATAAATTGTTTTGTGTGTGGACACGCTGATAGTCAGGAAAAGCAAACTATCTGCAGAATAGGCCTTCATCAACAAACTTGTTAATAGATCAAGGTTCACCAGGCCTTCTTGGTGAGATATGATATGTTTCCCGTCAAAATGAGACTTTTACTAGATTATAACAAATGTGGTGGTCAGGATTTTTATCATGAAAGACAATTCTGGAAGTGGAGTAGAAGGAGAGCTCATCCATAATCCCTCAAGTTGTCAGATGTGATTTTTAGTCATTACAAGAAGATCATAGACATCCCAGATCATACTTGTTAACGACTCTATTGAAAATGGCTTAGAAAAAACAAAAACTACCTGTAAGATACATCTAGACACTATCTGTTGATCAGATTTGATTTTAAACCACTGCAGGAGATAACCATGAGAAGAAGTCGTTAGGCCTAGATCAATGTAACATGCTGCCTTCGCCTTTCTTCTAATTTGGGTCGTTTATTTCAATGTCACGATCAATTTGTACAGGGGCGCTGATTTGCGTGAGATCTAATCAACATCTGTAATAAACGTCAGATAAACAGGCACATGAGTGGGTGAAGATGGTTGATGGAAAAATTAACAAGATGAAGATGAGAAGATCAAACTTTCCTTCGGGGCTGTTCAGGCTAATCAAAATAACAAACCAATATCACTTATCCCTCAAAATACATTTATAATTGCTTTCAAGATGCATGTGCTACCTACAATAGAAACAGATTTCAGACTTGGTAGTTACCTTCTCATTTTATTGTTTTGTTTTATCGTGGAATACAGAGCAAGAAATGTTCATTTTCTTTTTGTCAATGCTCAATAGACGAATAGACAAATTGCCACAACAACTAGCAGTACTGAACACCCCTAATAGGCCTCTCAATAGCCCTACAATAATTCTTCTCTGACATGTCTTTTATTAATACCGTAATTAACCTTGTATAAACCGCCCTCGTGTATTAACTGCACCCCTCTTTTTTTCGCCCTTAAAAAAAAAAAAAAAAAAAAAAAAAAAATTGCCAAGATTTTTTGTAAGATCATTACGGTAATGTAAATTAAAAAACAGTAGGGACCTAGGATATAACCTTGTGGTACACCATGTAATAGAAGAAAAATTTGAACAATTATTATTATTAACTACATATTGAGATCTATCAGAAAGATTACTTTCAAACCAAGATGACAGACAAATTTGAGTGTTGTTCTAGTTTACGAGTAGTGAGTCAACACACCGATTACTGAGCTGGGAGACATTTCCAGGCAATAGCGCCAGGTGGAGGGGCATAAATCGAAACTTTTAATTTTTTTGTTTTTTGTTTTTTTGGTGTACCGTGTATAAGCCGCACCCCCGACTTTCAATTTTTTTCGGCGGCAAAAAGGTGCGGTTAATACACCGTTAATTACGGTAGATAAATAGATCTGTCAGAGAAAACAATAGGTTTCAGGCTGCTTTCTCTTTTTTGTAGGATTAGATGGGCACTTGTATACTACACATCTTGCTCATACATGAACCTCAATATGTAGATCTGCTCAAATAATTTCTCTTTTGGCAAGTGTGTGGCTAATGGGATCCACAGATCAAACAGGCTTTATTGAGCTAAAGATAGCTAATAAATCAGGTCTCGTTAAGATGAAACCCAGTCAAATCTCTATTTCATGACAACAAATAATTGTTCTCTTGAAGGGTTGCAACAAGACTATTTGAAACACTTGGAACAAAGATAAAGCTTTTTAGCATCAAAGGA